TGAGATGACCTAGGATTCAGCTTGCTCACCTTTCACATACTCCCCACTTCTTTCCTCCTGTCCTTGCTATTGCTAACTCCTTCACCCAGGACAAACCAACCTCAATGAATTGAGGGAATCAAAATAGCAAAAAAAAACCCAAAACCCCCAAGTTCACAGAGCCCAGGTTAAGAACCCCTGCCTTAGACCCTGATAGGGACAGCTCAAGACCCTGAGCTCCAGGGTCCTGGGAATAGCTGTACCCACAGGCACCATCCTGGAATTCAATCCTTGGGAAGATATCTGTCTGAGAATCTCTACTGAAGACCCAGAAAAGAAAGCTCTCCCCACCAAAATCCTTGGCCCTGGCAAATGGTTTAACATCAGAAACAGATGTGGCTTCATCAGTGGACATGACATGGAAGAAGATGCATTACCACCATCAGCTTTGCTGCTGTATCTTAAAGACCATGAAGCCTTTCAGTCTAGCTTGCTTCTGAAACCTCCCAGATGGGCTGTCTTCCCTTATTAGACTGTGAGCAACCTGAGAGTTGGGGCCATCCTGCTTTTCTATTTGCCTTGCAGTGCTCTGTACATGGTCATTCATTCATTCTTTAGTCTCTCCTGGTACTCCTTCTTTACCCACAAACCTGCTCAGATCAACCTCGTCCTTTGACCCAGATATCTTTTACAGCTACCAGGGAGGGAGAGCGAGGATAAGCATTTCCATGGCACCTACTAGGTGCCAGGCACTGGTTAAGCCCTTTTATAAATCGTATCTCATTTGATCCTGACAAAAACCCTGGGAGGCAAGTGCTATCCCAGACCCAGTCCTCCATCCAAGCCAAACAGAGAAGCTTTTATCCTAAAATCATTAGGGGGCCAAGAGAGTGCCCTACTCAGTTCTTTCTTTTAGGAATATCAACGTGGCTGTATTAAGTGTGAGTGGAGAGAGGACTGACATGCCTGGCAGTTGGTATCCTTGTAAACTGAACAGGTCAGGGGCAGAAAGATAGATTAGAAAGCTGCTGTAATAATCTAGGCAAGAGATGATGGGGTTCTGAATGAGGGCAGAGCCTGGGTGAGCAGAGAGGAGACAGACGCTGTACAGACAGAGCTCGACTTAGCAGCTAACTGGATATCGGAGAATGAGGGAGACGGACGAGTCGTGGAGGACCCCAAGGCTCAGAACCTGGGTTAAAAGGAAGGGAAAGGAATAAGCTTTTACATATTTAAAAAATATTCATACATTGTTATTAAAATACTTATATTTTACCTACTATGTGCCAGGCATTGTGCTAAGCACTTTTACAAATATTATCTCATTTGATCAACAACTCTGCAAGGTAGGTGCTGTTATTCCCATTTTATGGTTGAGGAAACCCAGACAAATAACCAGTGACTTGCCCAGGGTCACACAGCTAGTAAATATCTGAGGCCCCATTTGAACTTGAGTCTTCCTCACTTGGGTGAACAAAAGAATTGTAGTGTATCTGAATAAGGAAGTTAGGAGGAGGTGGGGATTGTGCCAGAGATATACTGAGTACCGTTCTGCATGTGTTGAAGGCCTAACTGCCCACACTTCGCTCCTACATTTTCTCACCACCTCCTCCTTGAAATCTGACTCCTGCAGTCCTGCAATTTGCTGGAATTAATTTCTCCCAAGGTAACTAATGATTTCTTAATGGCCAAATTCAATAGCCTTCCTTTCCTCCTCTCTCTCCCCCCAACTTTTTTCCTCTTAGATTTTTCTGCAGCATTGATAATGTTGACAACCTACCACCTCCTTCTTTCAACATTTTCTTCCGGTGGTTTCTGTATAACTAGATGGTCCTTTTTTTTTCCCCCTTCCTACCTCAGCCCCAACAGACTCATCCTTGGTCTCCCTTCTTCTCACCCCTGAAATAGAGTTACCTAAAACTGAGCATACAAAAAACAGGGTAAAAACAGTCTCTGTCCTAAAGAAGCTCACATTTTAATATATATGTTATATATGTATATAATGTTTTCCCCTTTGATTTTACTGCCTCCCAGTTTCTTCTCTTGCTTCTGTACTGACTCCCAAATTTCAAACCCTGACCTCTCTTCTGAGCTCGGGTCCTGCTTTTCCAACTGCTAGGTTGATAATTTTCATTTGTATATTCGGCCAGCACCTAAAACTGCTGAGACCTTTCCTATTTCCATTAATGGTACCACCATTTTCTGCCCAGGAATGTCAGAGACTTAAAAGCTCCATGGTCAGGTCTCAGAGGGCAGGCACCATATCTGTCTCTCCCATCCCCCTGCCTAGCATAGGACTTTCCATATAGTAGGCGATCAATTAGCCTCTGATATAGAGACGGCTGGAATGGGGATCTTGGTTCCCATCTGGCCTCAGACACTAGCTGTGTAACCTTGGGCAAATCACTTAACTTCTGTCTGCCTCAGTTTGCTTATCTGCAAAATGAGGATAATTGTACCTATCTCCCAGGGTTGTTAAGACGATCAAATAAGATAAAAACTTTATGGCACTATATAAATGCTGATTATTATTACTGCTACTATTCTTATGATTATGGTAGAGGTCTCCGGAAGTCCCTTCCAATTCTGAGATTCTGTGACTGAGTGAATGAAATATTAAGGACCCAAAAATTAGCTGGAGGATAGTAGAAAGAGAATTGGATTGGGAGAGCAAATCAAGAGACCTGGTTCTCTGAGCATACTGACTAGCTGTCTAGCCTTGGGCCTCAGTTTCTTTATTTGTAAAATGAGAGGGTTGAACTACATGGCCCTGTTCACCTGGGACAATCTCTGAGTCTATTTCAGAAAAGGAGGAGAAAGAGGATTGGAGGAGAGGTTGGACAAGAGAAAGTGGATGGAGAAATGATTGAGGAGAGGGACCTATGCATCCTTTAACTGGACTAAGAACCGAATTAGTCAAGATGCTTGAGCCTTTCAAGGGTCTATCAAGGGAGTGATGAGGGGTCCTTTTTCAGGACTGGGCTGGACTAGCAGGCTGGGGGTCCCCTCCAACTTTGAACATGAGCAACTGATCCCCCAAAGGGATCATAGCTATGATCATTGATTTCAAGCTAGAAGGGACTAGACCTCATCAAATTCAATTTCATCTTACATATGAGGAAAGTGAGGCCCTGTGAGATTACATGATTTGACCAAATTCAGAAATAAGTGTTCAGTGGCAGGTCTGGGATTCAAATCCAGGACCTAACTAAGAGTGAGAGACACCTCAGCTTCATGCCCTCCTACAATGTGAAATGGGCAATGAGGACTGGCCATAGGAAATAATAAGACCCAAGTCCTACCTATTCACTGGCAGAGAATATAGTGCCCCAAAGTCTGAGAAGCTGAGGGGAAGGCACTTGTGGAGAGAAGGAGAGGAGAGAAAAATGGGCCTCCATGGAAGAAGTCTGTTGCCTTCCATGGACAGTGATCACTCCAACTCAATGCCGGGTATTCATTCCCCTCCTCAGACCCTGGCTTGAAAACCTCGCCCTTTCTCTTCTAGGAATGTCAGAATTGGAAGGGACTTCTGAGGCCTTTAGCATAATTGGCTGCTTCTCAATTCAGCCTCCATCCTAGAAGATCCCCCCCCCCCCCATCCCCCCCCCCCCCCTAGCCCCCCCCCCCCCCCCCATTTTGTTCCCCTTCCCCTTCTTCTTTCCCCCCCCCCCCCGCTCCCGCCCCTCACCACATATTGTTTCTCTTCTCCCCCTCCTCCCAGCCCCAGATCTGGGCCCCCTACTCCTCTGTGACTGTGTTTCTAAAGTGGGAGTGACTCCCCCTCTTTTCTCCCCAGAACGCACGGGTTCCTCCCCTCCCCCCGGATGGCTCTGAGGGTGGTGGGGTTTAGGATTTGGAGCAGAGCCTGTCAATTCCTCCTCCCTGACCCCAGCATCAGTCTCCCAGGACAGCCCAGGCTAATCTTGAGGGTGAAATCCTCGCCAGATTCAGTGCTAGGCTGCAGACTGAAAAGGGCTTGGGGAGCATCTGGAACGGGCCCAGTATTGGTCCATTTCCCTGTTCCTGTCACTGCAAAATGTCAGGTTACCTTCTGCACGGTTCGAAAGGGAGGGGGAGAAGAACTTGCATGTGATGACCCCCACCCCCAACACACACACACACACACACACACACACACACACACACACACACACA